TATATATATATATATATATATATATATATATATATATACACAACATAAACAAAAAAAACTTTACGTTTCATGCAATAAAAGTATTTTTTGTGTATCAGGTTTTTAGTGTTTGTTAAATATTGTATTTGCAACACATGAATTGCTCAGATCAGCCGTGTCTTTACATTAATCAGTGAAGCTTCATTTGTGTTGGGAGCTTTTTACAGCCAGTAATGCTTCAGTCTCATTTGTCAAGCACTTCCCCAGCTCTCTTAGTGTCTGCTTCCTCAGCAGAGTCACAGTGTTTCAGCTTGGTGTTCTACTTTCTGCAGCTCAGGTGCAGAACCTGAACCTGTCCTGGGGCCGTGGCTGTTTTCTATTATCACTGAACTCATGTCGTATCAACGATCTATGAAGCCACACATTCACACAGGATTTCTTTAAAAGGACTCTAAAGCCTCTCCTCTTAGCTCTGTGTACGACTGAATCCAAGTAAGGCCGAATGACTTCCAGAGGATTAGTTGGGTTTGTCTCGTGCACACTGCCTATGATGTATTGACTTCACAGCATTAAGTACATGAGTGTATACTACAGCAGCTTAAACTGTCACACAAAATTACAAGAATAAACTATAAGCATGTCCAACTTACACGGTAATGACTCCCATGTTTGTGACATTTTGGGTTTAATCAAAATACTCAAACTTTTTTTTGTGTTGCACTTTTCTTTAAGTGCTAACAAAGTGAAGTCAGGTCCTCTGGATGGTTTCTTTGTGTTGGAATGTTGCATCTAAAAGACTTCACCAGTCCAAGGAGCTACAACAAAACTCAGTGGGTCAACCAGTTGACCCATTATGTGAAGGTACTATTTACAAGACTGAGTTTGTTGTGGCTGCTCGGACTGCTGAAGACTTTAAGATAAAAGATGAAACGTTTCATCAAAAAGAAACCATCCAGAGGACCTGACAACTTTGTTGGATATTTCTACCTGGATTATTGAGTGGTGTCGGCTTCACAGAAGTCTGTTGGAGTCAGTCTCCCCACCATCACAGACATTTACACCTCCAGATGCAGGAAGAGGGCCACCTGCATCATGAAGGACCCCACTCACCCAGCACACACTCTTTTTGCCCCGCTCCCCTCAGGAAGGAGGTTAAGGAGCATTAAGTGTAGAACCACTAGACTGAGGAACAGCTTCTACCCTGAGGCTGTTAGACTCATGAATCTCTAACCAGAATAATCACTGTGAAAAATCACATTGTGTTGCTGCTGATCTGTTTCATGTTGCTGCTGATCTGTTTCATGTTGCTGCTGATCTGTTTCATGTTTCTGTGTTCATGCGTGCACATCTGCTCACACAGACTCATGTTCGTGCTGCTGTTCGGCGTATTGTTTTTATGCTATTAGTGCTTATTGTATTTTTAGTTGATGTTTTTCTTAGTTCATATCTTAGATTTTATTTCTGCTTTTCTTTTGCATTTTATACTTTTGTTGGATGTAACTGAGACCCTGTGTACACAATTTCGTTCCACCACATGTACCACATGTGCTGTGTATGACAAATAAAGAACCTTGAATTCTTGATGTGAGCATGAACTTTCATATCTATTGGTTTTATGTTTTTTTTTAGAAAATATTTTTTTAATCTGAAAGTCTATTTTGATAATCTTGCAACAAAAAACTGCTGTAAATGGGCTTTTATTCATTTAAATTTGTTTATCTCTGTTTAATGTTTTAATTAAACTTTTTTTGTAATTTTTTTGTTTTTATTACTTTCTACAAATACTTTTTTCTTAGAATGCTTCCTCTTAGTACTGTCTTCGTCCTTTCTTTCCTTTGATTGCATTTATTTCCATCCATCCATTTTCTTTACCTGGCAATCCTTTCCTTGTCATGAGGAGGTGGTACCCCTCTCCAGCAGTCACTGTGTGAGAGGCGGGGGGGGGGGGGGGGGGGCACCCATGACAGGTCACAAATCCATCAGAGGGAAGAGAGACAAATGAGACAAACAGCCATTCACTCTCTCACTCACACCTACGGACAAATTGAGAGTTATCAATCAGTCTACCATGCATGTTTTGGTCTGTGGGAGGGAGAAAGTCTCCAGGCCAGGAGATGATCCTTTGACCTTCTGGCTGAGAGGTGACAGCTTTAACCACTTCTCTACCATGTTGCTACATTTATGTCCATGTTTATTTATTCTTTTTTTTTTTTTTTACAATTCTTTGTCAGCTTTTTTATCTTTAATTGTAGATTGCCTTTAGAATACAAATAAATAAATCAGGGCTTCAAATCTCATAAAAATACATACATAAAAATTACAATACATAAAAATTACAATACATAAAAATTACAATACATAAGTAAGTCTATGCTGGCTCAGGTGGTTACTGGAATGGGGATGGTTGAAGAACCAGACATTTCTGGAAAGAAATGGGCAATTTCACAAAGACAGTTTTCTAGGGTTTTTGTCCTGTCTCTTTCTGTTTCCTCATGTTTCCTGATTCAGCTCTCTGTGTTTTCCGTCCACGTGTTCAGCTCCTCTCACGTGTGTCTCATGTTAATCACCACAGGAACCTGTCATTGTCCTAATCAGTGTGTGTATATATTCAGTTCTCTTCTGTCTTGTCTTTGTCTCCGGATTGTCCTTCAATGGCGTTTTGGTCTGCCTCCCGTCATGTCTGCCCTGATCTGTTCTCTGTACCAGTAAGTGGCTGCCCTGTCAGCCTTTTGATTTTGTTTCTTGAGAATAAATATTTAGATTTTTTTTACCTCGAGCCTCCTTGTCATCTTCCTGCACTTGGGTTCAACACTTCTGACGGCAGGTACTGATACGTTTACACTAGTGCACTTCAAGAAACACAAATTAAATCGTACAACTGTCATGTAAAGTCGTATTCATCCTTCAATAAGTAAATCTACTCTATAACTTTTTAAACAAAAATACACTAGTCCCTCGCTACTTCATGGGTCGTTTTTCACAGACTCGCTTTATCGCGGTTTTTCGAAGTAAGATTGGACATGACACACAATTGGCTCACTGATGGATGAGCCGCATGGTCAGCATGGAAGTTTTATTTAAAATAAATTATTTAGCACCTGCTGCACCTGTGTGCAGCCCACAGCTGCAGGAGAAGCTCCCTCCTGCATCATGTCATATCTCCGCTCTGCAGCAGAGAAGTGGGCGTGGCCTAGAGAGCTGGCAGGTGGCAGGAAGATGAAATTATGACATTCTGTGCTCTTTCAGAGTGTTTAGAGTTTAAAACCATTTAGAATATTGCAAAAATGTGGGAAGGGTTTAAAACACCTTCATATATGTATATACATATATATATATATATATATATATATATATATATATATATATATATATATATATA